ATCCACTATGCTCTGTGGCAGAAATGCTTATGGTTTTTAAGAAGTGCATCCAACATGGACTTTGCATGGAGAAGTAAATCAACAGAGCTTTATAAAAAATATTTATTTACAATTTATTATGTCTTCCTTCCCTCTCAAAGCCTTGCACAGACTGTGAACATGCTTGTTTTGGAAGAATCTGTCAGCCGTTAAGAAAACACCAATCTGTATGCCCTGAAACAAATGTACACACAACACATTTAAGTGAGGCAGAAGAAATCAAGTAAATGCATCATTTTTCCATCGTAACTCCTTTTTTTTAGACTTAGGGAATTTGTACATGTAGAGGATATTTGCTATAAATAGACTCCGTATTCCTTACTAATCTGGAGAAGCTCTGTTAGTCAGCTTTGTATTTCTGTGACAAAATAACAGAAAATATCAACTTAAAGGAGAAAAGATATATTTTGGCTCTGGGTTTCAGAGGTTTTAGTCCTTGCCCAGCTGGCTGCCTTGCTTTAGGCCTGTGGTGAGGCAGAAACGCCACGGTGGGAGGGCCTGGCGGAAGAAAGCTGCTTACCTCCTGGCAGCCAAGAAACAGAAAGGGAGAGAGCCTAGGAGGACAGGGCCTAGGATGCAGTGTGGTCCCCAAGGTCATGTTCACGTCAGGTGCCTCCACCCCAGGGCAGCCGGCAGTGAGATGGACATCAGAACTGGGAATCCTACACGCAAAAGGAGGGGTCAGAATGGGCAAGGCAGGGACCCTTCACTTCCTAATAATGCCATCAGGTTATGCTTTACCCAGCAATGGATCAGTCCACTGATGAAGTTAAAGCCAAACGGTCCGATCATTTCCCAAAATGCCCACTGACTGGCACCAAATCTTTAATTCATAAGTTCTTGTGGACATTACAAATCCAAATGGTAATGGAAGGTTTGTTAGAAAGAAAAGAAAGGCCCTGAGTTCAATTCCTGGTACAAAAAAAAAAAAAAAGAAAGAAAAAAAAGCAGATTAGTTGATATAAATTTGGAGGGCTAAATAGAATTTTTGTAGTTTACTGATTACAAACTATAGTAGGACCTTTCAACACTGTTGCTTAGTTTTTCCGAGACTTCTGAGCACTATACATCAATTAGATGCATCCAAATGCAGGCACAAAACAGACTTCCTCCTTGCTGGCTGCCAGGGTAACTCTTGTAAAGAAGTCTCCCAGATGGATCACATATCATTTCCCTTGCAGTTCCAAAAGGATACCCATGCGCGCTCGCACACACACACACAAATCATCTGGCAACTTTGTTTACCTGTGGGGAGGGGTGGCTGGGAGAACAGTGGGAGAGAGAATTTTCCCCAAACAGGCCTTTTGAATTTTGCATCATGTGACTACGTATTTCCTATTCACAAATAAAAAGCTCTCAAAGTTCTGGTTTATTTGCTTCATGAAGACAACTATGGTTCAAAAGTTTTGACTCCACTATTTTAGAAAAGTTCATCCTGAAAGTGAGCTAAGAAAAACCTAGGTGACTATAAGTTTGTACATCTCAACTTAGTCATCCAGGGCTTCCCACTGTACCTCTTGGAGAAAGAAAGGCAACTGTAGGTCCCTTGCACTCTTACCCAGTGAGCTGAACATCTGCAGCCTTCATCCTACACTCCCCATTCCCTGGGGAGTCCCTTCAGTAACACTTTAGTGGGTGCATATTTTTTATCAGGTTACCACCTTCCTAGGATGGCTACTGATTATAATAGCCACTACCTCATAACAGGGGGAGCATGACCTTGGAAAATGGAGTCAGGCCCCACCCAAGTCCAGGCAGTTGGAGGGAAAGGCACAGCTGCTGCTGGGAGGGTCGTGAATAGCCTCACCACTCTTGCCAGCTGCAGGGCAGCCCGCAGTGAGACAGTGGACATCAGAACTGGGAATCCTGTAGGCAAAAGGAAGGGTCAGAATGGGCAATGCAGCGACCCAGATGTCTGACGGAAGGACATGTACTCATTCACACAGACAGGAGGCATCCAGAGGGTATGTCTGGCAGGCCATCCAGGCAGAGGGAGGCAGGCATAAGGAGATTCAGTGCAGAACAGGTAGGAGCCAGGAGCAAGGAGAGAGCTGAGCTGGCCTTCAGTATCCAGAGACAGATCCCTAAGTCCCCAGCGGACAGGCAGACAAGACAGGCTGAAGAGTGGGAAGAACTGGATTTTCTCGTAGTTAACAATGGGGACTGCTATGCAGAAGGCGAACCAGGGAGCCTGTACTGAGATGGAAGTGTAGAGGCAGACACAGCAGCACAAGGGAAGGGGGCTACACACTCTGCGTGGCTCTGAGACCTGCAGGGTCCTCCAAGGAGGGGCTCTTCCTAGAACAGGGTCTCTGCAAGTGCAGGGAAAAAAAGTTGAAGCTGAGACCCATGAAGGAAAAGGAGAGGGACACAAAAGCCATAGCTCACCTTCTCCTGGATATGAGAGCATCCTTAAGAATTTTCCAGATTTTAAGACTGTACTGCAAAGCCACATTTCCTTAAATATATACGTGCATGAGTGTTCTTTTTAAGTTGTATATGTACTACTGGTATGAAGTATTGAAAGTATGCTTCAAAGTGTAACATACAACTAGAGAATGAAGTAGATTTCTACTTAAGTTCTTTTCTAAATAAGATTAAAATCATAATTTTCTGCCTCACTATCCCAAATTTCCCCAGTGACAAAATTCCTGCTCTTCCTTAAAAGATCTGTAATCCTACAGCTATGTCAAGTTGACATGTCACTTTGGAAATGAGGAAAATGTTCTGGAACTACACCAGTGATGATTACACAAATGTGTGACTATATTTAAAAACCACTGGTACAATTTAAAAGGCTAAATTTTATAGTATGTGAGTTCTAGGCAATCTTTTGGAAAAAATACATATCTACATATAAAGATATAAAAAGCTGAGGAGCGAGAAAAGAGTATTAATAAATAATCTGTGAAACTCGTTTAAGAGTTAAGATACCTTGTCACTTGGGAAGGTAGTGATTCCTCATTCTGGGGAGGAGGTGAAGTTCCAGATTAGATGCTGGATGGGTTGAATGAATCACAGCCACACTCCGGCTTGTGGCAGCAAACTGTCCACGTGTTCAGTCAGCTGATGCTCAGCAGGCCCCGGCTTGGAGCCCAGTGCACAGCCCGTGGTATCTGACAGTGCCCCTAAGGAGCTGCTTCAGTTCTTACCAAATTCCCCTAAAAAGTACCTTTCTGTGTGTGTCACACAGACAGAGTCTGTGCTTATCTTACACGCACCGTGCAACTTTCTTACTGGGTCAGAAGCCATTGGTAACCTTTGTCATCTAACTACAGCCCACACACACATTTATCCCGTTTGCCTCAACATCAGCTTGCAGCAGCATCCACATAGCCTTAGGCTCAGACAGTCCCTTAGTTGGATGCAGTCTAGCATCCCTGGAGAGCAAAAGTGAGTCCCAGGAAGCAAATCCACATACAAGCCTCCTGACACGTTGCTCCGGAAACCCAGTGGGACCTTCTCATCCACCTCAGAGTCACTGTGTTCCTGTCTTCACTTGCCTGCCCAGGGTGAGGTCAGAGGCCCATCCTCTCAACCCCACTCAGCTAGTGTTGGGTTTCCTGAGTTGGTGCTTTCTTTGTAAGATTTCCTTCCATAACTGAAGTGTTTTCAGGATGTATGGCTTCCTCCAAGCCACATTATTTCAACACTTTCCTTTCAACTCTCTAATATACAGATGAAACCTGCCTTCACCTCGATCACCCTCTGAGCGCCTCTGTTCCCACCTCTCCTCTGCTGATGCCAGCCTTCAGCTATGCGATGGTCTCCTAGAGCCTCTAGCCACCCCAAAGGCCAGGCCAGAGCTCACTGCCTCTGTGTGAACTGTTAAATTTGTCTTCGGTCTTCTTGTATGTACCCCACTGTCCACCTGCCAGTTGCTATTTTTCTTATCTGGCTGATTTCTTTGTATCGTACGAAACTGAGCTCACTGTCTAGGTCCATGAGGAGACCTCCTTGGCCTTCCTCTGCTGAGATCAAATCCACTTGCTCTACAGTACCACCCGCCTGGTGTGTGTTTGCCATTCTACTCTAAACCTCTTGAAGGGGAGGTCTGTGACTTGTATCTGCATTTCCAGCAGAGAACTTGGTAAAGTGTGCACCCACTCATGTCTGTTCAACTGAACCCAGTATTCATTTCACTCTCCCATTTCTAAGATGACTGCTTGTCATCAGCAGTATTTATTATTGTTGTCATTTTTCATACATTGAGAAAGGTGCTGAGAAAAATAACTACCGCTACCACCTGTAAGACTGTCTGGTTATTCTATGAGATGTGGTCATTTTGTTTTGTTATACCAAGATCAGCAGATTCAGAGATTGGTATTTGTATTAAAATTATACTGTTTTGAATCAGAAAGGAAACAGACGCTCAAAATGATTAAGCAGCTTTTCCAGAGTCCCTCAGGCAGTAGATGGTTGGGACGTAGCTCATGAATTTCCTGAAATACCTTGCTGTCCTGACTTATTAAAATTCCCTCCATGTTTAACATTTTTGAAAGGGAGCAGTATTAAATATCTTTTGCAATTGAGAAGCAGTTTATAGGGCCAAATTTGACCTCCCAGGTATTATCACAGAAAGGGACCTCGTTATGTTTCTGTGGTACCAGGACCGGATACGATCTGACCTCAGAGAAGTGGGGCCAGTTTTGTATGTGGCTTGTGTAAAGCAGTTTCCAACATTTTATGCACAATTTGCATATTTCCTTTAATCTGCCAAATCACCATGAGTATCACTAAAATGTTTTCTAGCTGTTTAAATAAATGTCATACCCAGTGCTAAAGGTTGGTTTTATGCATTCTTAGGCTATGATAGGGAGGGGACAATTTTGGAAGTGATCGTATAAGCAGCTGATGGTATTTTCTTATGCTTTTTACAAGTGCAATTTAGTGATTCAGTTTTTGTGTTCTCCAAAAAAGACTTGTGCATAATGTTTGTCCACTGTCTACTTTCATTTCAGGTGACCTTCCAGGTCACTCCTCCGTGTGCTAGTGACAGGCATTATGGGCATGCTGGGCGGTGCTGCAGCAAATGCGAACCAGGTAGGACTGCTCCTGAGCATCTGCCAGTGTCCTCCAAAGTGGGGGAGTACTTCTGCTGGTCGGTTTTTTTCTGTCCTACCAGATGAAAAAAGAAATTGGATAGACCTTTCATGGTAGTGGCAGGAATAATGTTTATCACTCGGAAGACAAAAATTTTCCCTCAACAGATAAACTCACCTAAAAATCAAAAAGAGTTTCACAAACTGGTACTTAATTTATGCTGAAACCCAATTTTCCAAAACACTATTTCTTGAGAAGGCAAGGTTTTCAAAATCATATTTTAGTACTTTAGACTCAAACTCTCACAATGTGAAAGGCAGCTCTTATTTCATATTATTTTCACAGTAATTTTATTTTGGAACAGCGACAGTGGAATTCTCACTGTTCAATTGCCAAAGCCTTGTTAGGCCTTCTCCTACATGCCTGCCAAGGAGCAGGAGGGACTGACTACCACATTCTAAAGCCTGCTCTGCCAGTGTGTGGCCAAGTATTCCCACAGGCCCTGTGAAGCCCCCAGACCACTGGGTCCTCATTCTCTCATTGTGCTGGGGAGGGGTGGGAAATGTGGGTGGGTAACCTTATTAACAAGACCCTTTGGAGGTTTCAGCTGCAAATATTTCTTGATGGGTAGAATAAATATCCAACGATTTTAAGTGTGGGTATGTATGTGTGTGTGTGTGTGTGTGTGTGTGTGTGTGAGAGAGAGAGAGAGAGAGAGTCTTGGTCAAATTAATTTAACCATGAGCCCATAGTGTTTGTAGAATACTAGAAGTTAGCCATGCAGAGTGAGGTAGAGGGGAGTTTGGAGATGGCAGATGGAGAGGGTAATAACGTTCCCCTTGCTTAGCCCTCTCATTCCCTGAGTGAGTTCCAGGAAACCCCTCAAGTTCTGTATAACCCAGTTTAAGTACATAGTTCTACTCCATAGCTAGCAGACTATGGGGGTACAAAGGCAATTGGTCTTTTATTTACATGAACTAAGAACATGCTGTGACTACAGTAAACTCAGGGGACACATCAGGCACACCAAACCCAAGACAGGATACCTTAGCCAGCCAAGGAGCCTGCAGAGCCCAGGGTACCACACTCATCCCATCTATCATGTTGTCTTTGCTTGTCAGGGGCACTTTCTGGGATTATGGTCACATAAACTGGACCGGTAGATTGGCTCTTTGTTTTTTTACTTTGTTCTTTCTATTTATTTATTTAACCCTGGGGATGAAGCCAGCGTCCCATGAACTATACCTCACCAATGCATTTTTTATTGTTTTGTTTTGCTTTTGATTGGTGCATTTTTGGCTGCTGTTTTGTGTTGCGTTCTTGTCATTTTGTTTTCATCAGTGCATTTCCCCCTTCCAATTTAAGGAAAGTACATGTCTTCTAAATGCACTACTACCTCTGACAGCGTGTGTTTGCCCTGTGGCCCGGATGAATACTTGGATACCTGGAATGAGGAAGATAAATGCTTGCTGCATAAAGTTTGCGACACAGGTGGGTTAATCACATCCATATATCAGTAAGAAGTGTGGAAACCCAGTACCCATATTTTGTCTCATATTTTGTTCCTCTGATCTCTTCTTTATAAATATTTTTAGATACAGCCAGTGCTGTTTCTTTTGAAGGGCCTGGGAAGGAATTTGACCATGGTTTTGGATCTTCAATGCCCAGGATTTTTAAAAATCTATGTTTAGAATTTTTATTCTGGAATGTGTTTATGTTGCAGTTTAATCATGAACACATCATACATTTGACAGAATGTTCCCACAATATTGGTATATGTGTTGCCTCATTTAACCTTCTCTGAGCCCTGTGAGATAGTCATGCTTGTCTCATTTTACACATGGAAAAACTAAAACTGAAGTTGAATGACTTCTCCAGTGCTATCTGATGAGAAGCAGAATTCAAAACCAAATTTCTGACTTGAAAACCTTTTTCCTAAACTACAAATGTTCTGTTGCCTCTACAGTCTCCTTCCCAGACTGCCATAATTTTTTTTGCCTCAAAAGTGTTCTTAAATTATAGTTTGTTTTTATGAATCAGGATCAAAATATGTCTCATAAATCTCTTAATTTAGAGGTTGTTCTGTCCTTTTCCTTTTCCCTATCCTGTTTATATGTTGAAGACGCTATGATATTAGTGCTGTGGAGCTTCCAGTCTGGATTTTGCTAGGTGCAACCTCTTGGTGTCATTTAATATATTCTTCTGTCCCCTATATTTCCTGTAAATTGGTTGTTGTATATACAGCAATAGCTGTTCGATATATCTAGAAGGTAGATCAGATTCTGATTTACTTTTTGTCTTATTTGGATTTTGGCAAATCTCCTTTATATACACTATAATTCACATATATAATATTGGAATTATGTAATGACCACTTATCTCTCTTGTACCTTTTTAAAAAAATTACTGTGAGACAAAGTCTTGCTAAATTTCCCAGGCTAGCCTCAAACTTGCAATCCTCCTGCCTCAGTCTCCTGAGTAGTTGGGATTACAGTTGTGCACCACTGTGCTCAGTGGCTCTTTATCCTTTTTTATGATATTAGCAGTTGCTTGTTAAGCACGACCTAGATCTATTTTCATTAGGAGCTATAAAAAGATGATATTCGATTTCTATTACTTGTTCTTAATTTATTAGCTGATATGCTTCATAAAGAGAAACTTACCTATGAACTGTTCATTACCCTGAAAAGCAGTACATATAGGAAGGCAGAATACATGCCTGTAATATTATCACTTCTCAAAATGATGACTTGAGCATCCAGATTTCTCCCAAAAATTTGTATAAATGTCATGAATTCATGAATTTAGATGTATTTGAGGTGTTTCAATCTATTGCAGTGACTATCAGTTTTATTAGTGCTCAGATTATCCCACTTCTTCAAGATGGCCCGGGTCTTCTGGTACAACCCCAGGCATCTTGAAAGGCTGCCTTGCTTCCAGACTTACCTTAAACATTTCCTGCCCTGAACTGTAATCAACCCTTTCTCCAGGGATTCCTGACTGCCTTTACTGGTGCATTTTATTTAGTGACTTCAGTCAGAATGCTTGGGTGATTCATTGCTACTGGATCAATCCTCACTGGAGTCCCCCCTGCCTCCACCTTTGGACAAAGCTAGGGAATAAGCATTTTTCAAACTATAAGTTTTCTAATGTATTAAAGATGGCTAGAGATTTCTGGCTAGAGAAGGTAACATGGAAACTCCACTGAGCAGAAGCATCTGATTCTTTTTTTATTTCCTACTGCTTAGTAATGACCTTGACTCATTGCTGTCTTTTGGAAATAAAGATTCACTCTGTCTACTGCCAAAGTTGATTAAAGCTGAAAACTGGGTGCATTAAAGTATTTTAGAAAATGTCAGGAAATTCAACATCCTACAGGCTTACATTTACTTACATTTGAGTAGGATACTGGAAATCCTTGGAATCCTCTGGAGAAGTGACATGTGTCCATGTAGCATTTCATGTCATGTGTATGTTTCTGCATATTGGCATTGCTGCAGAGCTGATTTGGGCTTCGAGTGTGGACACAGGACAGAGCGGTGACGTCTTCAGATTCACCATGCTTGGATCTGAAAAGAATGGACATAGGAAATGCTCCCTCTCTTTTGGCTGTAATTTGGGACAGTGAAGAAAGGAACAGATTTCTGATTTGTTTCCTCTACCCCTGAAATTCCTAAATGTATTCAGGAATGCAAGGTGAGAGGGCTGTTTGGACAATCCAGCTGAGGTGGAGTTCTACACAGGTGCAAGGCCTGTTTTCAGTAACGTTATGATTTGTACTGTGTGTGTGCATGCTCGTATGCACACAGCTGATTCTCCTTATTCACAGGAGTTATATTCTATAAAGTAACCACAAATACTGAATGGGCAAATCCCAAGCTGTTGTCCCCAGGGAAAACAAAAAAGTTAGGCACTAATCACAGCATTTTCATCAGCTGCTCAACATATAACCCTGTTTTATATGTTAGTTTTTATTTGACGCATGTCATTGAGTCATTAACACTGCACCATGGAAGCACCAGCATAACACACACTGATACAGGGCTTACCTCACACAGGTGTGTTCTCCCTAAAGGGCACCCCAACTTTCTGCACTGAGGACATGAAACAGCACAATGTTTGGGGCCATTTTAAACAAGGAGATCCAATAAAAAGGGTAAAAATGAGGGACATGTGGCACTGGATAGGCTCTGGGGAGGACACCGGTTACCCCTGGAGAGCTGATATAAGAAAGCAGTGTGTCCTGTTCAGCCTTAGCAAGGAGCCTGCAGAGTGTCTCAACATGGACATAGTTTTTCACATGTCCATGAAGGATTGTGAAAAGGCCTGGAATACTGAATTGGAGTTTGCAAAGTAATTTTGTAAGTAATTAGGAGTTGGTGAATTCACAAATATGAGTCTGTGAGTAATGAGGATCTGTGTGCATGCTGGCGTCTATGTGTGTGTAGTATCAAAGATTAAATTCCTGTGAACCAGTATTACAGAAAAACTGGAAGGGTCAGATTTGCAGTAAGAAGACAAGCGTTTTGCTATGTCTTATGAAAAAGAGAGAAAAATGTGTTATCCTAAGCGTTTGGAGGAGGGACTGATTCTCCCTGACTGCCTCTATGCTTTCCATACTTATCTAACTACCGTGGGACCCTTCAGGATGTCAAGATGAATCCAAATCTCCAGAACCCCTGTTGTCTTAGGTCTAAAGAAGCCGCAGTGTTACTGGTGATGTTTGAATTTAGTAAAATTCAACAAGCTGGGCACTGTTCGATGAGTTTGCGTTTACTGAAATACGGATCACATATTCCCCCGTCCCTAATCTTCCTACTAGCCGGAAGACTGACTTTTTACAACGCTCACAAAACGCAAAACTATTCAAGGAAAAAAACAAACCCGCTGGTGTTTTTGTGCCAACACAGGAAGGGCCGGGAGGAACTTGGGAGTTCCTTAAAGCAAGCGTCCTGGATGAGTCATTCTGCAGGCCAGCCGGCTGCTCTGTCCAGGCGTTTTGGGGCTGAACGTTGGACAGCTGCACGTGGTGGACAGCGTGTCTGTGCTTCTCTCTCTCGGTGGCCACTGACCTGTGCTGTCTCCTGCAGGCAAGGCCCTGGTGGCGGTGGATCCCGGGAACCGCACGGCCCCGCGGCGCTGCGCCTGCACGGCTGGGTATCACTGGAGCCAGGACTGCGAGTGCTGCCGACGCAACGCGGAGTGTGCGCCCGGCTTCGGCGCCCAGCACCCTTGTACGGTTGTGTGTCTCTGTGTGTGTGTATATACGTGCGCGTGTGCTCCAGTCCGCTCCCACAGAGCCATGCAGTGAAAATCAGGGCACAGCGAACCTCCGGGCAGTTTTTACTTAGGGCATCCTTAAGCAGGCCGTGGTGGCCCTTTTATGATCCTAGCATTCTGGGAAGCTGGAGCAGGAGGATGGCAAGTTGGAGCCCAGCCTGGGCAATTTAGCAACTTAGTGACACCCTGTTTCAAAAACAGGAGGAAGAGGGTGCTGGGGATTTAGCTCAGCGGTACAGCGCCTGCCTAGCAAGCGCAAGGTCATGAGTTCGATTCCCTGTACCGGGGGGGAAAAAAAAAAAAGAACTTGGGGACTGGTGTTCGTGGTCTAAAACAGGAGGAAGGAGTGGGTACTGGGGGTGTAGTTCAGGGTGAAGGATCTGGGCTGCATCCCCAGGTGGGTGGGTGGGTAGATGGGGAACATCAATGCTCCAAGGAGCCAGATGACACTGGAGGAACCTGGGGGTGGAGACCCTTGATCTCCCACAAGAGAAGGTGCCGTCAAGGTCTGAGGAAGGATCACTGGCTCAGGTTCTTCAAAGGGAATATGAGTGGTGAGCCTGCACGCCCTTGTCACACCACTGTGGAGCTCGGGCTGCTCCAGCAGCAGTGAAACCCTAGGATGCATAGGGTAGCACAGGGATCCTTCAGTTTCTTAAAGATAGTCTCACCATGTACATAGCCCAGACGGGCTCCAGCCTCCTGAGTAGTCCAGGCCAGTCTTGACCTTTCTGTCTTTCCGCCTCAGTCTCTCCAGTGCTTAGGTTCCAGGGCTGCATCACCACTCCCAGCTCTCTCTCGCTCTTTTTTTTTCAATTGTGCACCCTCTGAGGAGAAAAAAACCACGCACCTCAGTTGACGTCTACAGTTTTTTATTACCAATTTAAAGAGTTGCTAAGGATTTAGTTACCAGGGAATTATAACTGCAGTTAACACATTTAAAAATAGTCATTGGACTCTAAACACCATAGCAATTTGATACCCAGCACCATCCATTTTAAAATGCACTAATCATTTTTCACTCAAGAACTTCATGGAGTTTCTTTCTCTCCTTTTAATTTGTATGCACTTCATCATCCCTATGAAATTTTATCCCAAAATATGTTTATGCTTGGAGGGCTTTTACCTTTTTATATTCCTTTATATCAAAAAGGGCACATATTTCAAATCTCAATTTGAAAAAAATTGTGGTGACAAGTTTCTGACAAGAAAATCATATTTCTTCTGGACTGAGTTGCCACCACATGCGTTATTACACAGTTTGTCACAGATGAATATATTTTGCTATATTATAATCATAAAAGTAAAAGCTTTTAAACTTCATAATGAGCAGGATGTTTTCCTATTATAGATTCATGGTTGAAGGCTGCTTATTGCTTAAATGCAGTTAGCTCTTTTTCCACTTTTTGTGGTCATAGATATGTGTTGAGAAAGAAACCTGTTCCTGAGGTGTCCCCAAGTTACTTCAGTGCCCTCTGAGTTCTATGTCCATAATCACATAGTGATGTGACATCAGAAGTTATTTTTCATCATCTGTCATTTAATAACTCAATTGTATCCTTCAGTTTTGTTTTAAGTAAAGAAATAGAAATCTTCTTGTCATGAGGAAGTGACTCCCGACCTGTTAAATGTCAGATGTGCTAAGTTTGTGTCTCTTGATAATCAAAGGACAAGGGAGGCTAAGAATAGTAAAAGCTTATCAAGAGAAAGCTCCTGAGAGACAGGAAGAGTTCTGAATGGGAGGCCACTGAGACTGGTTTGTCCAGGGCATTTTATACAGCAAAATCAAAACTTGGGTAACTATGGGTAAAACTACAATCAGCCTACAGGAGTATAAATATAGCCAGGTAGCTAATAATGATCTAATAGGGAAGTTAGGTACATAGGAAGGGTATACCATAGGCATCACTAACTTTAGCGTATCTATAACTTATGAGGCAGAAAAAACAAAGGCATTCTGGGAAATAAGGATCAGGGTATTCTGGTCACCCACCTATGCATCTGATACCTTAGCTAGGCTCACTAGCCTGGGTGGTGCTGAGTACAGTACAATCTCAAGCTGCTATCTGTCCCTAGGCAGCTTGTAGGCCTGGCTCTCTGCCATTTCATCTCTAGGCACAATTTTGATAGGTCTCATCTTGTGCCTTGACTCCCTCGAGGACCCAGCCCCACTCTGACTGACTTTTAATTCCTATCAAAATTAGCTGACTAAAATACTTTCAACTTGACAGAAGCATTCTTTAGAGTCATTTGCTTTCCTTATTTCTAGAAAGTATAACAAAGCAGTGTTTTCAAGATGTAACAATGCCTGTTAATCTTTCACTTAGAGATACCTTGTTTTAAGCCAACATACTTGGACAGAGTTGGGAGAGTTAAACTATTATTTATTTCAGTTCATGTGGAGGAAAATATGTATCACAGAATCTAACTGACATAGTCAATCCTTATTATCTATCATATGCATCATATGCATTGACTGACCCAGACCTGCTTTCTTATGGAAAAGTCTACCTTGATTTTTAAATTATTAAACCTCTCTGTCACAGCCAGCTCCCCCTGAATCCTGATTCTAAGACAGACAAAGTGCAGAGCCTTTGCACAAGTTTTACACTTGTGTGAAACAGGTGCTGCTGCCTCAGGGTTTCTGGTGGATGCTCTCCATGCTCTGCACCTTTGGGGACGATGCATTCTTTTTTTTTTTTTTTTTTTTTTGATTTTTCTCCGGTACCGGGAACCGAACTCACGACCTTGTGCTTGCCAGGCAGGTGCTTTTGCCACTGAGCTAAATCCCCAGCCCCGACGATGCATTCTTTGATAATAAGTAGACGATAGAGGGCTTCAGATGGCGGGGTGAGAATTTCACTCCTGTCCAACTTTGCAGTACATTTGAACCCAGAACAACTCAACCTGGTCCCAAGTATCCTCTTTTATGGTGCACTTTGGACCTTAGATAGGGAACGAGAGAAGCTAGACTGGGGTGCTGTGAACACAGAAGCTCTGACATTACCACTATTTCCATCGTCATTCTGTTTGGCACCATAGCAGGCTTTGGGGTATGTAAGAAGTGTGCCTTCTTTTTATGTGGTGGAAGCACGATTGTAAAAGGGAGGAAGGAAGGAAAGCCTGCAAGAGGCTCCTAGTGGGTCAGTGTCATCAAAGAGTCCTGTGGAAGTCAAATGTATGGAAAGGAATGCCCTTAATTCTTTGATGCCTGGTAGCCCCTTGGAAAGCCTCTTTGTTTTTGAAGCCTTCTCAGAATCTTCTAGAGTGTGTTCATCTTTTAAAAAGCTATTTGATTTGATGTAAGTTATTCAGTATTAACTGGCTTTTGATAATATAATTTCAAGGCAAATCACATTGCCAGATCAAGAGGCAGGTGCCTCTCTGACCACTTCTGAACAGCAGAGACTCAGGACCAGAGCTGGCATCGATACTGGTGGTGGTGGCCTGATATGGAGCCAGTTACCTTTCTGAACACAATTCTCACTGTGGACATCAGAACTGCTTGCTAGGCCTAAGCTGGGGCGTGGAAGCCATTGGTGGGGAGGGAAGGGCAAGGATGGGGACAAGAAGTGGAAAGGGACAGCACATGTGGAGCACTGTTCTGGCTGATCTCTAAGTGTCCTTGCTTGTTTTCGTTTGTTTGGTCTGTTGTCTTTTTGACAGTGCAGCTCAACATGGACACGGTGTGCAAGCCTTGCCTTGCAGGCTACTTCTCAGATTCCTTTTCTTCCACGGACAAATGCAAACCCTGGACCAAGTAAGTAACAATATGTTTGGAGCCAAAAGAATTGGTTGTTTTTTAAGCACCTAAACCTCCACCATCTCATCTGGGTTGAAAACAGGCTGATTCCATTCAGTGAGGCTCCTCTTAGGAAAACATCTGTCAATTCAGTGTGGGGAAAATAAACTAGTCAACCCCCTTCTTCAACCTGAAGTGTGACAGGAGCTTTGTGTTACTTACTAAATTCAGTAGTCTATAACTTAATGTGTATATCTTCTTTATTTTTTTCTAACTTTATTTGGTTGAAAATGACTTATGACTTTTTTCCACGATGCTGGGAATTGGAATACAGGGGGCAAGCACCCCACCACTGAGTTAGACCTCAGCCCAATTTATGACATTTCCTCTCATTCACTTATCATTCTGGCTTTTCCAAATTTCCCAACATCGCTGTTTTATTCATCCAGAGTTTGTATGTGTGCACTATACATGTGTACGTAGAAGCTTCCTGTGTATGTTGATGCCTTCTGGATATTTGTGGCTCTTTAAAGCAACATAGAAATTCATTGTACAAATGTACCATAATTTATTTGATAATTTCTTGATAGTCATTTGGATGGTCTCCCGTCTCTTACAGTAACGTATAATTTTGTAATGTATAATCTCATATAGAGGTTAAATGTTCCTTATCCAAAATGCTTGGGACCAAAAATGTTTCAGGTTTCAAAATTTTTTCACGGGGCTGGGAATTTAGCTCAGCGGCACAGTGCCTGCCTTGCAAGCACAAGGTCATGAGTTCGATTTCTGGTACCTGAAAAAAAAATCAAAATTTGTTCACATTTTGGAATATTTTCATATACATAATGAGATGAAAGGAGAACCAAGTTTAAGCACAGAATTCATTTTGTTTTGCATACATATTGTACACATAGTATGAAGGTAATTTTATATGTTATTTTAAATTATGTTTGTGAGTAAAACAAAGTTTCCTAGTGTCAGATTTTCTAATTGTGGAGTCATGTTGGTACTCAAAAATTTCATATTCTAAAGCATTTGGTATGTTAGATTTTTAGATTAAGGATAATTAACCCATTTATGCTATGACACACTTACGTGAGTTTATCTATGGTGGAATTCCCATGTAATGATTCTTTCAGTTCCCAGTGTATTCTTATTAAATGCTGATGTTTTGATCCATGCATCCAAGTTTTATGTTGACAATATACTCTGTATTTTTCAACTTCAAAAAAGGATTTATCAAAAGTTCACCATTTAGCCATGGTAATTGAAGCATTTGGAATCTCCTTTACTACACTCTCACTCTCCGTGCTCTCAGCAGTCTTAGAGTGTTCTCTAACAACTTTGCTTTTGTGATCTCCCATTCCCCTGTGGATACAAATGTCCAAGAAGACATGAGCTCCCTTCCTGAAGGACCTGGCAAGCTACTCATAGTACAGTAGAATTGTTTTTTGGTTTTGTATTTAAAACAATATTAAACCAAAGCACTGAACTATTCTTTCCTTCACAGCTGTACTGTTCTTGGGAAGACAGAAGAACATCATGGGACAGAGAAATCAGATGTGGTTTGCAGTTCTTCTCTGCCATCTAGAAAACTGCCGCAGGGTATGCTTGACCCAAGCCTGTTGGATGGTAGATGTGCCCGTGTGGTCAGCTGTCTGGCTGTCTTGGGAATAGCATGCTGTATTTGCAGGGGTTCACCTGTCCCTTTTCATTTCATCCTATCCATGGCCAGCTCAGTATTTAATTTTCACTAGCATTTTAAATCTAGTTATGCTATTTATTTGATTTTTTGTTTTGGTTTTTTTTTTGTTTTTCTCTGGTACCGGGAACCGAACTCACGATCTTGCGCTTGCCAGGCAGGCGCTTTTGCCGCTGAGCTAAATCCCCAGCCCCTTATTTGATTTTTAAAAAAGTAGTGCTAGGGCTTGAACCCAAGTCTTGTACACGCTAGAGTACTTGAAAACTTTTTACACTGGAGTGGAGACAATTAATGATACATTTATACACAAAAAGAAAACAAAACTGCAAACATAAATGAAAAATCTCAGACACAGTAGGGTGGTGATAGTCCCAGTAAGGGGTTTGTGGGGACGTTTTGGTCATGAACCAGAGATGGCAACTTGTTAGAACCTAGCTGTCATGACTCAGGGAGCATTTTGTTACTCTTATGCACAGTTTCAAAGATAGACAGAAAGTTGCTGGTTAATGAAGGAGGCTGGTCACTCCAAGTGAGTGGGGCAGTGTGGAGGTCGGCGCGGATACTCGAATAAGAGAAGTAGCAGGAATACCTTTCTAATGAGGCAAGAGAGCACAGATCACAGAACAATAGGGTAGACAGGGAAGGGTTTAAATTTGACATTTTGAGAAACAGGAAGACATTAGAGCCAGTGGATATGAAGTTACACAGTCAGAGAAGAGTTTCTAAAAGACCATTTGGGAGATGAAAAGTAACTGAAAAATAGTATGAAAAATAACAAAGGAAGTAAACTGATATTTTTTTAAAAGGAGAGAGAAGGAAAGGAAAGGTGGGGATCTAGGAACCAAGGGCTTATAGTACAAGGTTCTAACAAAGAAGTGACTGAGGAGCAATGAGGAAAATGATGGAGTCCACATTGCATCAGAGCTGAAATAGCAAAAACACTTCTAGGATGGCGGCGGTTCTTCTCACGGCCACTGAAACGCTGGCACCATGCTGGTATTTGGACAAAAGTGATGAAAGCTTCCTTCTGCCTGCAGGCAAAAGGAGACAGGAAGCAGGGTGGTGTGGTGCACAGAGCGGGAGTTGTTACGAGGTAGAGACGCAGTGGTGATCCTGGACGGACTGCACACAGATGGAGCCAGGCTGCGCAGAGCCGGGCTTGGCAATGTGAGCTCTCGAAAAATGCCCAGTTAGGCGTTGAGCGCTCCCTGCTTCTGTCGTTCCAGACCCACACCCATGACTCTGAGGTTGGATTTCTAGAGTTTTGTTTTTAAATTTCATAAAATTAAATGACCTTTAAGTTTTTCATTTTCTTCCAACACAGAGCCCCAGATGTACTTGCCCAGCTTAATCATTCTGCTTCTCTTCGTGTCTGTGGCGTTGGTGGCTGCCGTCATCTTTGGTGTTTACTACAGAAAAAGGGGGAAAGCAGTAACAGGTACTGTGTCTGTCATGGTGCTTGAAAATTCATCTTTTGGGCTGGGGATTTAGCTCAGCAGCAAAGCGCCTGCCTGGCAAGTGCAAGGTCGTGAGTTCAGTTCCCGGTACCGGAGAAAAACCAAAAAAAAAAAAAAAAAAAGAAAATTCATCTTTCTTTTGGGGGGGGGCGGTACCGGGAATCAAACTCACGATCTCATGCTTGCCAGGCAGGCGCTTGCACCATTGAGCTATATCCCCAGCCCTTGAAAATTAATCTTGAAAAAGTAGATACAATATATTTGTAGGTCAGTGTTTGGGAAGATGAGTAGATCGTCCACTGATTATATATAGATTCTGTCTATATAAAGGTGGCTGCACTTTAAGGGGAAAAGCACCCTCTGTATCTGATTCCTTGTTCTCTAACAAAACAAAAAGCCAGCTTTGCACCAGGGTTAGCATTTGGGGAAACTGATGACTTGTGAACTCTGTGCTTCAGTTGTATAGATTGTGGAGCATCAGCTATTCAGGGGGTTGCACTTATCTTTGAATATCTACATTTTTAATGTATGCATTTAAAGAGACAGAATGTTCAGATAAAAAATGAAGGAGATTTTGATTGGGGTGTTATCTTCAAATGTGAATCTAAAATTATAAGTTATATGAAGTCAAATTTAGGTGCTCATTCTTAGAATGGATAATCGAATGTTGCTTTTGATAGTGTCTTTAAATATCACATCGTCTGACTTTTATACTACAAAACTAGAGGAAGTATAATTATTATGAAAGGATTCAAGGCTTCCTTCAGCTTGATAAAGGTATTTCTTCATCGTTCCACGCACAAATCATTCTTTTCTGAAGCATCTGTCATTTTGCCACCTTTTCCATTTGCAGTTGCTCCCTTGTTTCTTTCTGCCACATGTGCTCTGCTGTGATTTGGTCAGTTCTCCCACATCACATCCAGGACTTCGTGTAACTCTGCGTATCTTGCTATGTCTATGAACATTATGTTGACTAATGTCCTGGGCAATCAAAGATGAAGAAAAACATGGTAACCAAAGGTGTGATGGTTAAGTAAGAGCAGTGTTTGAGCAGGGACTTTTTTTTTTTTAAGAATTCATTCATTACTGAGAGAATTAACAAAGAAAATAGTGAAGTCCAAAATGTGTCACAGATGATATAGCAGAAATGCTTCCTCAGGGTGGCCTTTCACTTATCTAACAGCGTTGTAACCCAGGACTTAGATAATATACGTTCATATGATACAGATCGCTGAACCAGTCGTGTTAATGTGAGACAGACTTTCTGATCATTTGGTTTTTAGTTGTTTCTATTTAACAATATTTTTCTGCCATATCTTATCAGGAAAAATAGTAAGCCCATTAATTACTCGATTGGGAATTAGGACTGCTAGCTTTCTTTTCATCCATTCGTTCTACAAGTTTATTGATCACCTGGGACAGGACTGACCCTGGAGCTTCAATACTGAACCACACAGACACAGCCAGGGCCTTCTGGAGGAGGCATCTTTCATAAAATAGAAGTGATGAAAGGCAAGGGAAGTGTCAGGTTTCCAAAGTGAAGCTGAGGATGGAAAGGTAGATGTCCAGTGCTGGGTAGCAGATGCTAAAGGGTCTTCCCAGCCTTGGGTCAGCCAGGTCTTCCCAGAGGAGCAAACAGGTGAGCTAAGCTCTGACAGACCAGCTGGAACCAAGGTGAATCACAGTATCCTGTGCTGAGAGAACTGCACACTGGGGAATATAGCAAGCTGGGAGGCTGAAAGAGGCTCATGCAGCTAAAGCTCAAAGTAGCAGAACAAGGGGCTGGGGATTTAGCTCAGCGGCAAAGCGCCTGCCTGGCAAGCACAAGGTCATGAGCTCGGTTCCTGGTACCGGAAAAAAACCAAAAAAATAAAAAAAAAAAAAATTCAAAGTAGCAGAACCATAGCAGGATAAGCCCGGTAACACCACCCTGCAGACCCTTTAAGGAGTTGGCTCCTTATCCTTAGCCACAGGAAGCAAGAACAGCCCTCTGGTTATAGACTAGAAACCAAATTAGGGGACTGCCACAAGAGGTGCAGGCACACCAGTTGGTAGTGATGCTGTAACTGTCCAAGGAGGGATGATGAGCGGCTACCACCTCTGGGCACAGCATTATTTTTAGGACCATGTGTGCTCATGTAGTACTGATCTGTATATGGAAAGGGCTGCAACTGTCTTTTGATTTGGGGTAATTTTATTTTGATAAATTTTAAAATTATAGGAAAGCAAGAAAATGATGATGATGATGTTGATAATAGCAGTAACTGACATGTTTGGGTAGTCAGTGTGTAGCATCATGGATATATACATTTATATGTTCTGAATAAATGTTCACAGCAGCACCATGAGGTATTGTTATTTCCCCCATTTTCTGATGAGGACACTGAGGCTCAGAGAGGTAAAATTGCAAGGTCTCGTAGTAGAGGCTGTAATCCAAATGATACGTATCATCTAGTGAGCACTGTGCCTGGCACATTTAAGGGCTCAGTGGGTAAGACATCATTTGCTATTATTATGAACTGTGATGATCTTTCAGTGAGGGACTGACAAATCCTACATTTAGTCTTAATAGTGAATACAACATTGAATATACATTAGAGGTGGGTTAGAATTTTATCTTTGCTTTATACAAATTCACTTTAAAATTTAGAGATTTGACTTTTCAGATTTCATCACTTCTATTTTATGAAAGTTATGGAGATGTCTTTTGTATATATTGCAGAACATAGTCTTCTTAGAAGCAAAAAGTGTAGTGAAAAGATTTGCTGGAGCTCAGTGGGTCTGACCCTTACTCCCCAGCTTGTACTTCACAATTTTTTTCTTAGCAGTACTGAGGGCAACCCAGAAACTTTGTACTGAGCTACTTCCCCAACCCCCTCTTTAAAAATTAGAGACAGGGTCTCACTAAATTACTATTTCCCAGGCTGAGCATGAACTTGAGATCCTCCTGCTTCAGCCTCCCAGTGTGCCAGGATTACAAGCATGCACCACTGTACCAAACTGCACCTCACTTTTATTGTACATATATCTGAGCTAGTGTTTAGTCACTTTCCCATCTCTGGGACAAAATATCCAACACCCACAACTTAAAGGAGGAGAGGTCTTGGCTCATGATTCAGGAGATGCAGTCCATATTCGGTTGGATGAGTTCAAGGGAGAAATATGATGGAAGGTCATGGTGGAGGAAAGCTACACATCCTTCAGCAGCTACTTACCTCTCAGCAGCCAGTAAGCAGGGCAAGAGACAGAAGGGAGGAGCTGGGGACAAGAATACATCCTTTTGGGTCACATTCCCACCACCCATTTTTTCCAGCAAGGCCCCACTTCTTAACAGTGCATTCATCTATGAACTTATCAGTGGATTAAGCCACTTCTGAGTATGTTGCCCCAATGATACAATCACCTTCGAAAAACTTCCACCTCTCAACACATGAGACCTTGGGGGGACATTTTAGATCTAAAGCACAATAGCCAGTTTGCTGGAAAATCAGTCTCCTAGACACATCTTCTGTGTCCCCTAACACGCCTGGCTTGGTCTCCCATAGGCAGTGAAAAACTGCCGAGGGAATGTCAGCGCGGGGCTACTGCAGTTGTCTGTAGTCTAAAAGCAGCTCCGAGGGCCCCAGATGAGAACGTAGGCATTTTAAAATTTTATTTTAAAGAGGGAAGAACAAAAACAAAGTAATAAAAACCAAGACAAAAACAAAACAAAATAAAAATGATACAGAATTTCAAAACAAGATGAGAGGAAATTAACAGTGGTTGTTGTATTACATATTGTTATCTTTAAAGTAGTTTCTCAGATTACCAGATATGAGAACACAGGTATTTTATGGAAATTCAGTGGCCCATATTTTTCATTACACAGAACAGGAAGTTCCATTTTTGATACGCGCGCTCTATGACTTCAGTCTTTATTTACTTTTAAAGATATTTTATTTATACCTGCACACGTTTGCAGTACTATAATCACATACACTGTGGGGAGTTGGTATGTGTGCACAGCGCAGCTCAATTATTTCCCCTTCCCCTTCGTCCCCATTTAAAGTTTTTCTTTTCTTGCCAACATAAGATTCATTTATTTATTCTATAAATCTTTCTCAAGTTAACACAGATTAACAGTCAGACTAATAGAGCAAAAAACACATAAAACACGTAAGACACTTACACTAAATCAAAGTACACTTTTAGATACACCTGCCATGCTGGATTACAATTCGTCTCTCTCTCCCTCTCTCTTTCTCTTGCATATATTTTCATGGTCTTTAAATCAGTGTATTTATTTATTTATACTGGTTATGAACCTAGGACCTCACGCATGCCCGCCATGCAGCCTACAATGAGCTACACCCTTAGCCCCAGTCTATTTGTTTTTAAATGCATTTACTTCCAGGCTCACTCACTGAAACACTGGCCCCGGAGTAGTTTAAGACAGTATTGAACTAACATGGGCCTGAGCCTGACACAGAAAAATAAGTTGTTCTCACATGGAGCACCATCAAAAAAAGAAAGTCAAATATACAAAAGTGTAAAAGTGTGGTTACAGGGACAAGGGGAGAGGAAATGGGGAAATGCAGGTCAAAGGACACAAAGGAGCATGTATACATGATGAACAAGTCTGGAGAATACTATTCAGGCTTTTCTGCTAAATAAGCTGAATTTAGCTCTTGTTGCCACATACACACATGCATGCACACATACGGGTAACTGTGTGACATGACAGATACATTGATTTGCTTTACTACAGTAGCAATCTTACTACCCATATTGATCCTGTACCGCCATGTTGTATAACTTCAATATACAAACATATGTAAAAAAGAAGTAGGAAATATACAAAAAAATTACTTTAAAAAGGACCCGGGAAGTGTAATATGAAGCCCTTATCCTTGCTTCTTTTTTTTATTTTTTTCTTTTTTTTTAGCGAATTTGTGGCACTGGGTCAATGATGCTTGCAGTCGCCTAAGCGGAAATAAGGTAAAGTTAAAAGACTTTAGTGCCTTCTTTAAGAACTTTCACAAATTAGCCTGATGTGACCGTAAGCAGTCAACTCTTGAGCCCCATCACTTAAGGGGCTCCTCCTCGTACGGTGCCAAGCCTCAAATCCAAGGATGTTTCTTGCTGACTTACTCAGGGTCCAGGTCAATGCTCAGTCCAAATGCCTGGTTTTGTTGTCACTGTCCCATTCCTTGTGTGTTTGTTTCCCTGGGATCAAACCCAGACCCTTACCCCTGCTAGCCAAGCACGCCACACCGAGCTTCCCTGCCCTCACTGCTGTCCCTCTGCACGTGCTCTTTTTCTAGTTCCAATCTTGACTGCCCAGTACAGAGTCCTAGAAGGAACAAGCTACAACTCTCCTTTGCTCTTAATAGTTATTTTGGTAACTTTTTATTTTGATACTTTAAAAATTACAGCAAAAAATAGTGAGACTATGATAACAAACTGCCATATGACCCTGTACCCTGTCACCAGTTGTATATGTTATCACATTGCTTTATTCTTTGCTTTCTCTCTCTTAGAATATGAATATGCGTATTTTTCTTGAATCATTTTAAAGTGAATGGAGATGGTGTGTTCTTATATCTTTAAATACCTCAGTGTATATTTCCTAAGAATAAGAACATTCTCACATATGGCCATGTACGTTTGTCAAAATCAAGAAATTTAAAATTTATAATAGTATGATACTATTCTGTAATTCACATTTGATACTAAAATTCCACCCATTCTATTTTATTTTTTAAGCCTATTTTCTTAGATATCAGCTTTAAGATCATACTGAATTCTCTAATTCCAGTCCCAACACTAAAGGATTCATTCTCATCTTTTCCTCTTCTTGTATTTGAATCTACTTTTCTCTAGGACTATGACATCTGGCTCCTTTTACTCTCAGTATGTTTACTCATCTGCTCAGTTACAGAATACACAGAAAGTAGTTTCAGAATTACTAAACCTTACCACAGAAAACACAGAGCTACTAACTAGAGTTTAGTATTTAATTACAGTTTGGTTTTATGGTAATATTGTCATCTATTTATATTGATAGTATATAATCAAAATGTTGTGCTCAGCCAGGCGTGGTGGTGCACTCCTATAATCCCAGCACTTGGGAGGCTGAGGCAGGAGGATTGCTATGAGTTCGACACCAGCCTAGGCTACATAGTGAGTTCAAGGCCAGCCTGAACTACATGGTGAGACCTTGTCTCAAAACAAAACAAAACAAAACAAAACAAAACAAAACAAAACAAAACACCCAAAAAATCATTCTTTCCTTGCACAGGGGTGAATATGCTATTCCTTTGAAATGCAGTAAGATTAATTAATTTCTGGCTGTATTCCATTTTAGGGCTCTCCTGCACGCTATAATTTTGAATAAAACAAATCAAGTGCTGTGGTGAATGTGCCATCTGTACTTGTTATGGTGGAAATAATTAGGATAAACACTGTTGTTAGCAATGTTTAGCTATTAGCATGTTCTAATAGCGCTAGGTATTGATGCCTCTGCCTCCTGAATTTGTATCTGCAGGAGTCCTCAGGTGACAGTTGTAACGGTGTTCACTTGGCAGCCTCTCCGCAGCATGAAGTAAGTGAAGGTGTCTTACTGCTGACTCTGGAGGAGAAGATGATTCCACAAGATATGTGCTGTTCGGATGGTGCTGGTGTCTTCAGGGGTGCATGCGCAGGAGCTGGGCCCTGTGCTCAGGGCGAAGAAGCCAGGACATTCTCTTTGGTTGAGATTGAGGGGGACCCCTTCAGGCAGATTCCCATGGAAGATGAGTACACAGACAGGCCCTCGCAGTCCCCAGACTGTTCACTGTTCCAGACCCAGCCTGGAAGCAAATCCACACCCGCTTTCTCTGAACCCCTGGAGGTGGGGGAGAATGACAGTTTAAGCCAGTGCTTCACAGGAACTGAGAGCACTGTGGATTCAGAAAGCTGCAACGTCACGAAGCCCCCATGTAGGACTGACTGGATTCCCGAGTCCCCTGCAAAATATTCACAAAAAGAGGTGGAAGATGGTGGTGGCCCACGCTGGGCAGCCAGTGCCAGCTTGGCAGACAGCTGCACAGGCTGTGGGCCTCCTGGGAAGGACCATGAACCCTTCATGAGTTCCCTGAAATGTGGACACTTGCCCCAGTGTGCCTATGGCATGGGCCTCCCCACTGAGGAAGTAGCCGGCAGGGCAGAGGGGGGCGACACACCCCAGGAGGGGGATGATGTGAGGCTTCCAGGCTCCGCGAGGGCAGGCACTGGATCTGGGAGCTCCTCCTGTGACCAGCCACCTGTATCTGGTAAGTTACTGTCCGGGTTTCCCACCACTGATCAACAGGGCCTACTCAGGACAGGGTTTGGGCAGGTATCAGACCATGTAGGGAAAAGGAAACTAAGATGGGAAAATTCAGCCTGCCCATTTTCTCTTAATAAGCATCTTTACTGGAAGTGTTTAGGTTCAGTCTGTATGTCAGGCTGCAGAAGGTGTTCACTTCTGTGACATCGTCTTCTCCTACCAGGGCTCTTACTGCACTCATGCACGCCCCATATCCTTTTGCATTCGGGCTTCTCGAGGTGAGGTTAGACCTTGAACCCCCTCACTGACACCTGTCAGAGTCAACACTGACCTCAGGGTGGGCTGAATCAAGGTGTTACCACAGACTTCTGGTGTTTACCCTTTGTTTTCAAACTAACTGAAACCTCTTAAATCTCTCCCAAGAAAGCTCTTATTAATTTCAGGAGAACAAATAAAATTGTTTAGTTAATTGTTAATTAATGAATATTTGAGTAGCATCTTGATTCCATACCAAAATAATGGTGCAGTAAAAATGTCTTCAAATGCTTTATCGGAGAAGCCCCTTTTAAAACCAGTATGTACAATATGTTTTTAGAACCCACAGGATAATTTACAGTTTAACACTATTATAGAGACTTATTGCTGCAGCACTGCTTGAGCACAAAAAACTCACTACTGATATTGTGACTTTTTCCTGAGGGTAAACCACCACCTGCTTTATTATATACTTACTCTGCAGCTGAGAGCGAGGCCTTCCTCTGGCTCCGGGAATTATTAGCTCCATGAGGGATCAGGGATCTCACTGAGAATCCTCTGAAAGGTGGAGATACTCTCTCTAGAAAATGAATGTATATATTCATTATATATATCTTAAGTATATAGTAAGTATACTTAAGGGGCTTCATAGCATCCTCCAACTCTCAAGGAAAAAAAAAGCCCATTTATGGGCCACCTGTCTCCAGAGATGCTTTTCCTTTCCTGTCTCTTGATTTGTACTGCAAGTGGCGCTAGCAGCCAGCTGTCTGAATTATTCTCTAGCCCTGAGGTAGCCAGATCTGTGCCTTAAGCAGACACTGTTTTGCCTCAAGGGAATGAGGGCTCCTGGCTTGTTTGGTAAAATAATGGTGCTTTAATATCTGCCAGGCTTTGTGGGTTGCTGAAACTGCTACTCAAATCTGCTGATGTATAAATTCTGCCCTATAATTACCAGTCAAACTGAAAGGAGAAGATACAGTTTTGTATACTTTTGAAAGAACTGGTGTAGTTTTCCTTCAGAAGACCTCAAAATTTGTATTTAAGGTTTTAAGGAATCTCCGCGACTAGAAACCAGGCCCCATTCTTTGTTTGCGTTGTTCTACCTCCATTCTAGCAGCTTGTGTTCTTCCCCTTCGTTCGAAAGGCACACAGAACACAAGATCTTTGGGCTGTGGGAACGAAAAGCCTGTGGCTCCGTCTACGGCAGCAGCCAGGTCCTGACACCAGGAAGATGGTGCTGGTCACTCTGAGGATGCACTAAGCTATCCTTGGAAGAGCATGGTTGGCTAGGTTTAAGGAGATTCATAGGGGCTGGGGATTTAGCTCAGCGGCAAAAGCGCCTGCCTGGCATACGCAAGGTCGTGAGTTCGGTTCCCAGTACCGGAGAAAACAAAAAAAAAAAAAAAAAAAAGGAGATTCATATTCGTATTCTCTCTCCCTCTTCGTGTGTGTCTGTGTGTCTGTGTATATTTATTGTCCTGAACCCAAAAGGCCAATCTTTGCTCTCCTGTCAAAGAGTTAAAACAGTAGCCTCTTCTGGATTTCATTATTTCTCCAGCACTAAACATCTAGGCAGAGAGGAAAGGAATAAGAAGTGTGTCGTCAACTGAGTGGTGTTAATTTGCAGAAAGTTTACACTGCTTTTTCCGTACTTGTCTGGTGCTCAGCCATGCAAAACATCCGTGGAAAGTCTGCCCGTGCTCAGTTGCCAGCCAGCGGGAGAAATTAATTTTCGCCTGAGGAGAAGCAGCAGCCAGATTGATTTTTGAGGCTGTGCTATTTTCTCTAAAATTCTTTGTACATGAACAGGCCTCATGTTTTCTGGTCAAATAGCACATTCGCATTCTTTTTAAAAAAAAAACTGTCATAATTTATGTTCTGTAAAATGTGTGAAAGAGGAGGTACTTGGATAGGAAACAAGAGAGCAGCCTGATGTTTCTGGGTCTCCCAAAAGGCACTGTGTCCTCAGGACTGGTGGGAGGTGGCCTCCTTTATTGGGGTTTTGGATTTTATAAATATTATGTAGTTGAAACAGAAGTGTTGGTTTAAACAGCCAAATCTAGTGGTTTCTGGAGAAATGACAATGTCTGTGGACTTCTGTAGGAAAAAATATCTCCAGTCAGCCAGGATTTTTTTTAAGTGGATGTTCTTCAGATAGCTTCACAGGTACAGACAATTAAAAGGAAATACCCAAGGTTGTTAAGGCTATTTTTGTGATGTTTTAACACTTAAAGAACTGTAAGAATTATTAATGAAAACCAGCAGTGGAGCCAAAACATATTTTTGGTTATGTTTTAAGCGGCCATACTTTAAGTCTTAAATGATGTCTAATCCTGATGGCTGGTTACCTTGGTTACAAACTGTTCTCAGGCAGAGTTAAGAGAATTCCCACTGTGCCACTGGAGAATTGTTACTTCATATGGAAGAAATAGTGGCTACCTATAATTAATGTCTGTCATTGGCCAATGACTTGGCTTTGGCTCCTAAAGTTATTCATTTGGTGCAGCCACTTCTGAGCTTGAGAGGATAGGCCCCCAACAATTCTTGATGAACCCGAGCCCCAGCTACATATTTGCTTTTCTATGAAACCTTTATTGAGGGTCTCCTGAGCCAGAGTCTTGGACAAACTGGAAAACAACTAGGGACTAATGTTAGAGAAGGGAGAGTGTAAAAAGAACCAATAATGTCAGAAATGAAGTCCTCTCACGGACTGCCATTCCCAGCCTGCTGCTTGCTGTAGTTCATAAGCAGTCCTGGGCTGTTTCACATGGAGCCAAAATATTGTCACCTCTTTAATCAACAAGCCAGGTTAAGCAGCTGTAACCATTCAGTAGGAATTTTCATAATCTTGACATCCCTCATCTCTCTAGTATCTTGGAAGGTGGGTTAGTTATGGTATATTCAGTGAATAAATGGTTATAGTCTCATTCATTCCACCAGTCAGAATAAGTAGATGAACAAGAAACCACTGTTCCCATTTTCTTTCTTTGGTGTGTTTTCAGCCTCTTACTAGTTTCCTCCTTAGAGCTAGAGAGAAGCACAGGATAAATGGAGAGGCACTGTTTGCCCTGGATACACCCAGCTGTCCTGAGCAGAGGAGGCAGACAGCACACAGCAAAGATGAGCTGGCCTGTACAAGTGGCAAAGACTGTCTAAAGCAGACTCCTGGGAGCCAGGGTATTGGAGCACCTGTCTGACTCCCCCTTCATGCCTCATCCTCAGTCTGCATCCCGGGTGCACCAGCTTTAGGGATGGCTGCTTTGCCCATCCACTTCCATTCCGAAAAGACAAGGAAAGGCTCTCCTACCCATGTTTTCCTCCTTTTCCCTTTTGTCCCCCCAGCAATGGACAGTCCTCTGTTTCTAAATTTCTTCACTCTTCTGTTAGAAAGAATGCCACCCACCAACTGGAGTTCCAACTTTCAGTTCAGTATTGTAAGGCAGACACTAATTAGTTCTTTGGTGCTGAATCTTTAAGTTAAAATTATTTCATAATTTGGTTATTTGATAATACTATCCAGCATTCACTGGTACTGAAAGTCAATGTATTATTTCAACATACACCAAAAATGTGTTCACTGTATGCTTTGCTTAAATTTAGTCCTGCCTTCCTTTTTCTTTACTGATAGGACTCATTTGGGGAGGGTTTGGCCCTAAGACTTTGCAGTTTTCAAGCATGATTCAGAATGGAACTATTAATTATTCTTCTTCCGTTATCTTCATAGACCCAGTTTCTTCCAAGTGCCTGAAACAGAGCTTGCATTTCCATAAAAAGGAAAGTCATATGAGAAGCATATGGGTTAAATATAAAATGCATTTTTAAAAAATTCCAAAAGAACCTAGTGAAGCCTGGGTAGTTTGAGTGTATTTGTGTATATTTTTAGTTCTTTTCCTTGGAAGAAAATCTACATGACAATTTGGTGGTATCACTTGGCATAGTTCTTGTGATTTAATATTCAGATGCCATGCATTTTAAACACTATAATAGGTTCTTAAGGAGAAAAGTGTGCATCACTTTGCTTAAAAATGTAAATTCTGTCAGGGATTGTGCTCTTAGGATTAGGTTTATTCTTTCCGCCTGAGAAAAAGAGATTCCAGGCAGACTGCTATATCAAGCATGGGTTTAACAAAGTATAAACATCTTTCTGATTATAAGGGATACATCATTTGTTCATTGTTTCTGTTGATTTTGGATGCTATTTTTAACACTCTGAAGTTCTCTGAACATTTTTCTCGTTAAGTCACACAAAATATTAATGTTAAATCAACTAAACTATTTTAAATGTTAGAAACTCCTAAAAATTTCTCATTTTATAACAATACCCAACTCATTCTGGGTTTTAGGTCATACCTTTGGGTAGCCTTCCAATAGCATTTTATTAGTTATATTACATTCAGAGACTTGTAAAATTGTGCTCCTATCCTGAAAGTTGCAGCCTTATCAATGATATTTAGATATTAGCTACCAGGCACTAAGTGCTTTGTGTATATTGTCTTTTTATTATTCTGGGAATATTTATTATTCCCAGAAATCCTCTGGGTCAAGTTCCTCACCCAGGATCACACAGGTAATAAGCAACAAAGCTGCAGTTCAAATGCCTGACACTGAAGCTTGTCCATTAACCTGCCACACCATCTCCGTAGGTCAGTGCAGTGACAGTGATTTCATTCAATTGCTGTGCCTTGGGGAGCCCTCTACAGAATAAGGGCAAATACTGGCCTGGGGTAATTGGCTGCTCTGGTTGAATGC